TTGTTTCTTTCACAGAACAACAAACTGGACGCTAACCAGTCAGGTTTCAGGAGTGGCCATTCAACTGAGACTGCGTTTCTGTCAGTTACGGAAGCCTTGCGAATGGCAAAAGCTTATTCCAAGTCATCAGTTCTTATTCTGCTGGATCTATCTGCTGCTTTTGACACTGTCAATCACCAGATCCTCCTGTCTGCCCTCTCATCACTAAGCGTCGGCAAAATGACTAAATGTAAAATGTAAATGTAAATGTGACAAAATACGCATTTTCGAACACTCAAACTATATTTTTACATTAACGTTCATGTTAAGCAGAAAGACTTTTACTAAACGCATCATGTTTTCAACTGCATGAGCTAATCAAACCGTTTAAAATCCTATTTCATTACAGCTGATAGCAGGTATCCCGCAATGTGCAAAATATCCACAGTCAGTACATCCTTCCTGGTGGATGTTCAAGAAGTGATAACCAGGACACCCATGAGTAGGATGTATTGTCTACACCCTCTACAAATAGAGCGTACCTCCAGGAAACGGTGTCATGAGAAAAAGCGATGACTTAGGTAGGGGAAGATGACCATCACAGAATAAAAGCTATATCTGTCGCTACAAACACACGCCCAAAAAAAGATCTGCATGAGGAAGAGACTCGTATCCTGTAAATAATGAGTCAGCTGCCTCGCATACAACACTATCTGAGGACCCTCATTTGCATTTTATCACCGTATAATGAAATTGAAAATGATTGTGGTTAAATCTTAAATCATATTGTATATGGAAACACAAAGCTCATCATTTAAGGTTTACATTTCCTGTATTAACCTTGAATCAGTTTTGTTTTGTAGTCTCTGAGGAATGTGCACATGGTGAAGTGGGCATTTCTCAATCCCACTCACTTACTTTAAGCCTAGGAAACATTGTAGACAAAGTGTATGTCAAGGTCAAAACAACTGAGGGAAGAATTTTTTTTTTTTTTTAACATTTACTAAGAGTCACAAGATGATTAAAATCTGAGAAGTACATGATTTCAATCTATTATTACAAATATTGTATTTTTGTCAGTTACACTACATTTATATTTTCTATAGACGCTTGACTTGAGTAGCGAGGAGTGAGATGGAAAAAAATGCTAAAAATAAAATAAAAAAATAAAAATGACGGTCTAATTCCTTAACAGATGGTATCAAATGGTAATAGTGGTACCTTTAAATATACCATGGCAGTGATTGAGTATTCATGGTATTTACCTGTTAAATATGTAAATGCCATGGTACATGTTTAAAAAAAAAATAATAATAATAATGTATCATCATATGTTTTGGTACTTTTTGCAAGAACCTGTGTTAATTTAATGTATGAACATTAATTAATTTTATTTTATTAATAAGTAATCAAAAAAAGCAATCATGATGAAAAAAGTCTTGTGGTACTGTTTTCTATTTAAATGTAGAAATGTTTTCTTACTTGAATTATTTATGTCTTTGAAGTACTTACAGATTTTGCTTGACTTGCGTACAGTAAGACTGAATCGACTCGCTTGTATTCTTTCACCATCTAGTGGCGGCTGCATGTCATTACAATAACCGGCAATTTTACTCTCCTGTGCGCTGTGGTTTACATCCGGGTCGCTGACGTCGCTGTCCTATTGGTTGTGTAACGGAATGGACAACATGTTACAATTCATGAAACTAGTCGGACAGCTAAAAGTGAGTGAATTCCGTGTTAATGCCAGTGTTTTGCAGGTTAACCTATGTTATATTAACGCTTGCTTTTGTTACAGCGCGTACCACGAACAGGATGGGTGTACAGAAAGATCAAACAGCCTGAGAGTGTGTCTGATCATATGTACAGAATGTCTATGATGGCCTTAACCATACAGGACATCACTGTCAATAAAGAAAGGTTTGTATGAGGCGTCTTAAAATAGAGGATTTTTGCATATGTCGACTGTTTACCTCGGAGCGAACGTAGATGTCCTTACAGTTGTCTGTTTAATCCACAGAATGCGCTTCTCAACATTCACATAACATTAGGGAAAAGAAGACAAAATACCACTTGTATCCTCTTCTGGTTCTTGAGATACTATAAGTAACACAGCAACAGTGTTGTAACGTATTACCCGACGGTTTCCATAAAATTGCGTATAAGTTTATCCAACACACAGACCATCATTGTAAGCGAGCAAACGTTTGTTCGGCAACAGTTGCTAAGGTAGGATTGGTCAGTAGCGATTTTAAGGCGGGGCTTAGAGAAGAGTCAATTATACTTTGATGCGTTCATGATACATTTATGCATTCATACTTGTGCAGTTCATTGAGATTGATTTCCATTTGTGCAGTTCATTTATACGCATTCTCATTTATGCGGTTCAGTTATTCACACTTGTGCAGCTCATTTAGACTCGGTTCATTTAGATTCATTCACATTTGTGCGGCTCATTGGGATTCATTCACATTTGTTCAGTTCATTTAGATTCATTCACGTTTGTTCGGTTCATTAGGATTCATTCACACTTGTTCGAGTCATAGATTCAGTCATACTCGTTCGATTCATGTACATCCAGTCGTTCTTGTTCATTTCGTTCAGATTCATTCATGTACACTTAGTGTTGGGAAGGTTACTTTGGAGATGTAATAGGTTACAGATTACAAGTTACCCTACTTAAAATGTAATAAGTAGTGTAACTTTTCAATTACTTTATTAAAGTAATGTAACTGATTACTTTTTGATTACTTTTCTAAATGTCTAATATTTTCAACTGTTAATTACTTTCAAACATGTAAACCAGGCAGGGTTAAACTTACAATATGTGCTTAACACTGATAACTGTCAGACTTTCGAAATCCTTCACTTGAATAATATTTTAATTTCAAAGGATAATTCCATTACATGTAACTAGTTACTCCCCAACACTGTGTACACTACAAGTCATCAAGTCGTCGTCTAGTCATTATTCATATAAACTAACGTTACTAGTCAGTTTTCTTAAAAACCCATTGGGGCTTATACAAAAATTCTTGAACTCAGTTTTCTAGAACAATATAAATTGTACTAGAAGTTTATAAATGAATAAATAAACATTTATTGTAAAATAAAGGTGTCTCCAAACTGGAGCAGTTCATTGACCGGCTCTTCTCTTCACAGATGCATGAAGCTGGCTTTAGTTCATGACTTGGCTGAGTGTATTGTGGGAGATATTGCTCCAGCAGACAATGTTAGCAAAGCAGAGAAACACAGAAGGGAAAGGGTATGATGGTTTTAAGCCCATTTTTACAAATGAAATATTTAGTTTGTGTACACATTAAACATTGAGAATCTTTCTCTTTAGGAAGCAATGGTGCACATCACAGGCCTGTTAGATGATGGCTTACGGAAAGAGATTTACAGCTTGTGGGAGGTGAGTTGATCAAAACTAAACAACTGGACCAAGTTTTGCGTTCCTTTTTTTGGTTCGGAATGACTGGACTACGTCTCTCACAGGAGTATGAGACTCAGTCTAGTCCAGAAGCCAAACTGGTGAAGGAGATGGACCAGTTGGAGATGATAATACAAGCTCATGAGTATGAGGAGTTAGAGGGGAAACCTGGAAGACTGCAGGAGTTCTTCACCTCCACTGAAGGTTTGACAAACCTACACATATCTAACAAGCTCAGGATCTGATTAGGGTGATTATCTGATACATGATTACTGGTTTGACGATAAATCGTGATAAAATTCCCCACGGTTAGTATTACCGTTTCATCTTTAAATTATCATTAAAACCGTATTAGATTACCGTGATTTGAACAACTCACGATAAATAAATACTGTCCAGCATAAAGCACAGTTTTAAGTAACAGTCTCACGTGCGCACAGCACGCAGAGTAGTTTTGTTTTGAGTGAAAACAGGGCGGAAAAGCTGGGAGGTATTAAAAGAGTGCTAAGGGAATTATACAAATGAATATATGAATGAATTAATTATATGAATGTACCTCTGAAGGTTCTTCAGAAAAGAATCGATGGCATTTTGTTTTCATTTTCTCTCCATGTAATACCTAAAGGAAGTGTTCTTAATCGCAATACTGCTTTGTCCACGGAGTTTACCGTAAACAGCTGTAATTCAGCTTTTCCATCAGCGCCACCTGCTGTCAGAGAGTGGATTTACAGAGACTTATATTTACATTCAGTCTGTGTGCAGTTTCAAAGCTTTATTTGAACATTTACATTAGATATTTCAACATGCTATTAAACTGTTGTCACTCAAGTTGTCATTTAAAATCCGAACATCATTGGTAATGTTATTGTTTTAGTGATTATGCAAACAAAAAGTAATTTTATTTGTTGTTTGTTGATTTTTAAATATAAAACTTGGTGAAGTGATTTATGTGTCGATACTTTTTTAACATCTCCAGCACATTTTAACAATACCGTGATAATACTGATAACCCTGATAATTTTGGTCACTAATCGTGATAAGAAATTTTCATACCGTTACATCCCTAGATCTGATAAGCAATTCTAAGAAGAGATCCACCCATCAGAAAAATTACTGTTACCAAGGCAAAGTAAATTGTATCAAAAGTGCTCAACAGTGGCCGTTCACTCCCATAAAGAATTGTGAATGAAATAACTTGAGTCTGTCTCACCTTACTCTACACCTACTTAAAGGAATAGTTCACCCAAACATCAACATTTGCAGAAAATTTACCCCCAGGCCATCCACGAGGTAAATGAGTTGGATTCTTCACCAGAACAGATTTGGAGAAATTTAACATTACATCACTTGTTCACCAATAGATCCCATGCAGTGAATGGGTGCAGTCAGAATGAGAGTCCAAACAGCTGATAAAAACATCACAATAATCCACAAGTAATCCACACCACTCCAGTCCAATCTATCCATAGTATTGCTTTCTCCAGGGAAAAAGTCATCTCGTCTGAATAAGGAGAGAAATATGCACAGATCAAGGACTGTTTACAAGTGAAAAGAGTCCAAAACAGTTCCTAACAAAACCTGTCAGTGGATTTTAAAGTAAGAGGACAACAGGGGATGGACTCTTTTTTTTACTGGAGGAAGCATTACTATGGATTTTTGCCAGAAGTGATGGTTTAATGATGGATTTGTTTCTTACAAACACCGTTTTAAACATTTCATTTTGGGGTGAACTATTTCTTTAATTATTAGCATAAAATGCAATTTTGCAATAACTTACAGTTTTCATTCTTACAATTACTGATTCAATGAAATAGCTTTGTATTTTGCCTGTTATAGGACACAGATGTATTTTCTCCTCTGATCACAGGCAGGTTCCATCATCCAGAGGTGTTGGGTCTGGTGAAGAGTCTGAATGAGGAGAGAGCTAGACACATCGCTGCCAGAGGAGATAACGATACAGAGAAAACCACTGACACAATCTCTCACACACTAGTGACACCATGATCTCAGTTCAAATCAGGCAATGAAGCTACCTCCACACATCTGTACACAAGAGTGTTCATTTTGTCCAGATTAGCTGTGTTTTATTATAATCGTATTTAACTGCACAGAAGCATGGTTTGTGGTTTTTTGATGTTTGTGTCCTGTTTGTTTGAATGTTCTGCAGTTTTGATAAAAATAGATAAATCTTTTTTATTCAAACTAAATGGAAATACTTTCAGAAATTGTTTTTCTGTTATTTGTATTTTGATCGTTTTACTGCATTCCAGTAATAGATGCTTTAATAGAAAATAATATTTTCTATCACTTGAAACTGATATTACTTTGTTAAACGCATGAAAGTGCAATGGAAATAATTCTATAATTATAACAACTTTCAAAATATGTTTGTGTGACTTACAACAGTGACTGACACTAAGAAAGTGGAAAGCAAAGCAGAAGCTACAAAAAGGATTCTCTATAAGCAACTCAAAGGTCAAAACTGAGCAGCATCTATCTTGTGAACATTTTTGCAGAGACTTTGCCGCACTTTACTGTTTTAGTGACTAAGAAACAGTACAATTAATGTTCATTTTATGGTTTCTGATTACGATTCAGTTCACCTTATTTTCATGACTGATGAGCTGGGACTTTGTGACTTTGCAAAAAACGTTTAATGACTAACTTTAATAATGAACGGCAGCTCAACACTGAGTATGAATTTGAAGAAAGATTTCGGCAATAAATCCTGTTCCTTAAAACAACAATTGACTTCAATGTCAATGTTAAATATGTAAAGCTGCAACAAATTTCACACAAATGTATGAAGTTAAGAAGAAAACAGGATATAATAATGCTATACATTTTTGGTCAGTGACAATTCTGGTTACCAATACATTACAATTTAAATCAGGCATATTAGATAAGGTAATAAATTACAGTAAAATGTAAATCCTCGTTCTTTAATTTGCTGTTTGCATCTGTTATCAGCAAATATGTGCTGTAGTTATGAGCATACAGCAAGAATAGAAGCATTAGCACATTTAGGAAAACAGCCTAACATCCATTTAGTTAAACATTCTTTCAAGTACTTCTCTTAGGATTGTATATGCAGCCATTATTTTTGGTCCTGGAAATGTATCATGCTTTGTTACAGTTAAACAATGTTGAGTTAGTATAAATAATAAAGTAATGCAGGACTACACCAAAGACAGACTCCTTGAAAAATATACATATTTTGAAAAGAACTTAAAGAATAAACATTCTCCACTTGGTTGTTTTCCTTCCATGCAAAAGTTAAGAAATATTTTGCACGGATAATGCACCAACACGCATCTGAAAGGCATGTATTACCATGTTTTGGGCCCCCGGTGCCTCCAAACCATTAAGGGTCATCAAAGTTTCACTGGTAGACCATTAAAACCCTTAGCGTTCACTGTTCTCAGTCACGTTATTAGTAGGGGTGTCCTGGGAGCTGGCTTGGGCCGCTGAAGACAGGACCTCTTCAAAACTGCCCGCACCTCCTGTTCCTCCAACCTTAGACTGCTCGCAACACAAAACTCTCATGACATTGGATAGTATGTTGACATTCAGGACAGTGAAGTTGAAAATGACCAATGATAAGCTGATCAATTATTAACAGCACTGAACTAAGGGGCAAACCAAGCTACAGTTTGCTTGTTTGACCACTAATAAGGTCACTGTATGTCAGGCTTACCTTAATGTTTGAAACTGTGCTTTCGACTTTCTCCTCAAAGGACTTGAAACTAGGCGAGTTTCTGTGAAATAAAAATAGTTTAGTTTTATTTACCTATGTAATCAGTAAACCTCATCTGGTCCATTCAACTGCAGTCCTAAAATCCTCTCCAGGTTGAAACGTAGATGCATGCAAGATGGTACATGCAGGGATTACCATTATTTACATTTTTTTTTTAACGCAACAAAACCACTATTTATTCATCTGACACACCAACACTCAATTTTATATATGTATATGTGATATATGATGTCACATGCATTTTTGTGTTGTTTGTATCCTAGAACATCACATTTTTTGGACGCTTTAAAAAGTTTTTAAATGCAATAGTAGAACAAACATGCAAAGCAAGCTGTCACACACATTTACCTCATTGTAGGCATGCTCATTGAATGCCGTATAGAATAGCTGTCCCATGAAAGCATGGCCAAGCAAAAAAGAGGTTCGATCATTATCATGGACAAACAAGTACATTGCAAATAAGACACATAAAATTGTGAATGATGAAAAGTTCTAGTTATATGTAAGTGTAGCCTGCAGCAGTGCATTTCACTACACCTACACTACCAAACGTTTGGGTTGGTAGGATTTTTTAAATGTTTTTCAAAGAAATCTCAGCATTTAATCTAAATAGCAAAACTATTAAAATTGTATAATATTATTACAATTTAAAATAATTGTTTTCTATTTGAATATATTTTGAAATGTAATTTATTCCTGTGATACAAAGCTGAATTTTCAGAATCATTACTCAGTCTTCAGTGTCACATGATCCTTCAGAAATCATTCTAATAAGCTGATTTGGTGCTCAAGAACATTTTGTAATGATCTATTCCGAAAACAGTTGTGCTGCTTAATATATTTGAAACAGCATTTATTTGAAAAATAAATCTATAGTAACATCATAAATGTCTTTACTGTCACTTTTGATCAATGTAATATGTCCTTGCTGAATAAAACTACTAATTTCTTTCAAAAAAAAATTGTTCTGACCTCAAACTTTTGAACTGTACTGTACAAGCTGGTGACTTTCTAATGGACAGTATAAGTATAGATTCCTGTCATAATTACGCTGCATGTAGTACGCTGCATGTGAACAGGCTAACTACAGAACTGTGATCATTTTGCACTTCCTGTTTGCTATGCAAAGTGAGAACTACCTGATAAAAATGACTTCAAAGTAGGTGAGATAAAGAGGTTTTGCTATTTCTCTCACAAACTATATCAAAACAAGAGTATTACTTGCATTATTTGTTAACACATAAATAATTAAATGAAAAGCAACACATGCTGAAACCAGTCATCTATTAAACAACTGCATGTAGTTAATGTGGGAGACACATGATTGTGACTTCAGCTCAATATGGATTTGAACATGCATTGCTGATTAAAAACAAAAGTAAGACCTTATAATGCTACAGCAGTCTGAGACATTGAACCATTTCAGATCTCATATTATCTAATGAATTTATGGCTTTTTTTTCTCAGAATCAATCAATTCAGTTTGAGACACATTGAAATTGTATTGAAATATTCATATTAGCTGTTCAGATACTTGAATACCTCTTCACAACCATATTGATTATTTATGGAAACACTGTGTCTGAGTCCTGTCTTGAAGTCAGAGCACCATCACTGTTCTCATGTATCATGCAGATGCTAAAAGAAAGCAGCTATTGCTAATCTCTATCTGGGATCTATAAACACAATATCTTACCCAAGAGAATATGACCTTTGGTGTGCATCAGAGATAGGGAAAGAACACTGTAAATAATTTTTTGATTATAGGCCATTCAACAAAATTTTGGTCATATGAAACCCAAAACATATTTTGAGGAAATATAAAAATATGTTTTTTATTTTTTTTTATTTCATAAATTCTTTTAATTTTAGAGAATTGTAATACAGTGGTCACAAAAAAAATCTGGACACTTAAAAATGGAAATAGGAAAAATATTAAACCAAATGATGCTTGAACTTTGTTTTTTAGACCTAACTTTTATCCAAGTGGTGTCGTGTTTATTTTTTTAGTAGATGTCTGAATTTAGTTTCCCTCAAGTACTTTTTAAAATTTTATTTAAACAATTGTTCTGTCATGTTAAACCTTGTGAAATGTTTTGCTTTAAAAGTGTGCAATGGAATTCTAAATTCTAATGCAATGGCATTCATACATTTTTAAGTGTGACTTACAGTAAGTGTCCAAATACTTTTTAGGGCCAATGTATACTGGCTGTTAAATACTGCCAATTTGTGCCTTGTACAACAGGCTGAACAAAGCACTCAGCGCACACGCACACACACACACACACACACACACACACACACACACACACACGCACACACACACACACACACACACACTGCAGAAGTTATAAGAATACTTATCATCATTTAAACAAAAATGAGCATTTTGACACTTTTTGAAGTATTGATTTGTCATATTAGCTGCATAAACAGTATGGACTGTAATCATGCTGTATGCTGCTATAGCTAGGAGCCAATAAGCATGCAAGGCTAAACATTGTTCTTTGGATGTTCATTGCAAACGTGAGGTAGAAAACTCCCAGACACATGCAGAGAGATGGTGTCACACACTGGCAACCAAACACACATACCTCCTGGGATACAGTATCTGAAGGCCAAACATGCTGAAGTAAAATAAGGTAATGAGGTGTTGGATCTACATAAATATCCAATAACAGTAAAGTCATCACTATTTTGCTAAAGCAAAAGCAGGAGTAAGTGGTCAATTAGAACTGGGCATCATGCATTGATTTTGATAATTCTTTATATCTTTATAATTAACTGATATATATCTATATATAACATTATGTGTAAATATACATGTATATACATATATGTGTATGTATTATGTATACACACACATACTCTATTTACACATTACAGTACATTTTTAAATAATAAGATAATTATTATAAATACAGAGGAAAAATCTAAAATACATTACACAACATTTTCCAACAACAATTTTTTTTTTTTACGAATATATTTATTTATATATTTTTACTGGGGGAAAAAAATCTGATTTTCTGCAGTGTTTAGGACTGCCATCTGTAAAGCATGACCATTATTAATAACAAATTTTCAACAGGCAATCCTTTATCACCCTGCTGTAGATGTGGACACTTCTCTTTTACTGTTCTTCTGAAATGAAAGAATCTATTGTCACAGAGTGTCTCAACCATCCAGGATCCAGTGAGGAGGAGCTGGTAAATTCTTCATGCCATCACAAGCTCTTATTTTTATGCCAGCTGGACATGCCCCCAATCTAGCCCACTGAAAGCTGCTTAAATGAGGCTTACATAACACAAACATGCCACTCAAACAGACTGGCCAAAGTAAATGCCTCAAGACCACTGCCATTTCACTGTGCAACAATCACAGCGTGTGTACTATTCGTTTGTGGGAGTTCCCTGCAGAAGAGAAACAGGAAATGATGGACAGCAGAAAGAAGCAGAGGGGGAAGTGACATTGTACCTCATATCCCCGAACTTTAGCCCACTGAAAGCTGCTTAAATGAGGCTTACATAACACAAACATGCCACTCAAACAGACTGGCCAAAGTAAATGCCTCAAGACCACTGCCATTTCACTGTGCAACAATCACAGTGTGTGTACTATTCGTTTGTGGGAGTTCCCTGCAGAAGAGAAACAGGAAATGATGGACAGCAGAAAGAAGCAGAGGGGGAAGTGACATTGTACCTCATATCCCCGAACTTCCTGCTGATGGTATTGCCCAGGTTACTGAAGGCTGCTGAGGTCCTCTGTCCTGCCGTAGACAGGCTCTCAGACGTCTTTTTGTATCTGCCAGAACAGTACCAAAAAAACAAAACAAAATGGATACACTTACTCGTACTCAGATATTCTTATCACAGTTGTCATTAATAAAATATTTCTGACAAATATATATTCCTCACAAAAATGCTTATTTTTAAAAAGTGACACTGTGTCTACACCGAGCGCAACTGTTGTCACTCGCATCGTATCTCGCCGCAACAGCTAAAGGCTGTCTACACTGGACTTGACAATGTGCCCATTGCTTATCATTGGTACTTTGTGTCAATAACACATAATAATAATACATAATACACATTTAAAAAATGTGGCTGCAAAATTAACTGAAATAAAACTGAAAACACAATATAGCTTAAGGCGATTATCACATCAAAGGCTGCGATTGTGTACATTCACATAATATCTAACATTTCTGTGGATAAAGGTTTACAGCATTTCACCAGTATTCTGCCTAAATATAAGCTTTAGAATCTGAAAATACTGTATATAAATTAAGAATTTAATACATAAATATAGGTATTGTGACAAAGTATAAATAAAGTATTGTATTGTAAAATAAAGTATAATTATCTTGAATTAATTACATAGAAATTATAAAAAAATATATATTTTACAGGACAACTGTAATATAAACTGTAATATATTTTAAACTGTAATATATTTATGTAATTCATTATATAATATACATTTTTATAACTAGAGCTAAAACT